AGGAATGGCATCTGAATTCCTAGAACTACCATTGCATTGTATGACCATTGCGCTAGGAAACTGTCTAGGTCTCCCTGGCTGCTGACATCTGGATGTAAGACTTTGAAAGACTTGTGGTGGGCTGGACAACTGGATGAGGATCCCAGTATTTGCACACATGCGCCCCTTCTGCCATGTGCCTGATATGCTACATCTTCGTGGATTATGATGACAAAATCTATCACTTAACCTAAGGCCAATGGTGTGGTATTCCATACAAGAGAAAAGAAAAACCATCACTGGTCATGTTCAGCATTAAATCATGGCCAGCAGCATCTCCCAAATCACATAGTTCCTCAAGCTATTCAACATGACAAGGTCTCTCTCCAAGCAGGATCAGAGAGATTATCTGAAATATTTCAATGGAGATCAAGTCAGATCAAGGCTGTTCCCAGATGAGATCTGCTTTCTCCCCGAAAGCCCTTTACTGAGGTCTAAGATCAGTGCGTAAGATGGTTAAGTCTAGAAGCCCTGGAAGATAACAGTAGTTAATGAGAAAAATTGCAAAGACCCAACAACCCAGATGGGAGGAACAGCAGGTGTGTGGCTCGGAGATAAAGACCAAATGGCCAGTGTGAAAACTAGCCAGGCTTGACAAATCCTTTCAAGGAAAAGGTTGGGAGACATGTAGAGTGTAAACAGTGAGATTCACCTGGTTTCAACTGCGTGGATCCTGCGCATGCTGTCTAGCCAGCAACATGGCCTTTGCTGAGGCACTTTCAATTCTAGAAACACAGCCACAGGCTGGCAGCTGAGTTACAGACCCAGAAGAACCAGCACTGAAAATCCGAGTTTTCCCGTGATGTCTAGGCGAAGCAGTAAAAAAGTGGAACTGAAATAACAGGCAGAAATGACCACCCTGGTTCCCTTCCCCCTCCCCCTTCCCCTACAGCAGAAACACTATCGAGGACCATCTCAGTAAGAGGTTTACAAGCAGGAGTCATTTGAACCATCGATAAGGGAAATTCCACAGCCTCTCACAGAGGAGGGATTGTTTTACAGCAGGGAACCAGGGCAGCTGGAGATTTGACCATATAAGTTAATGAGATAGTCAGGACTGGTGGTGGCGGTGCGATGATGTTAGGCTGATGGCTGTGATGGTTTTACAGGCAGCATTAAATTCCTTGAGTGAGTAATTAGGGGCGATGAAGAAAAGGCAAGAGGAAAGATTTCAAAACAACAGCTCCTATCAAAACGTGCTGACTCAAATAATAGCGCCAAGGGGGTGGTTCTGGTATGAGGCATGGCTCAGTGGTATGTACAGTCACTGTCTACATGCCTTCCGGTAGTTCCCCCTCGCAAACATTCAGGTTCCCATTACTCTCCTGTTCCATGACAAAAAAAAAAAAAAAAAACCCTGCAGATAGAGACTACTACTACAGCGAGAACTAAAGTTACATTTCCTGACTTGGCAGTTCAAAATATGCCAAAGCTGTGAACCACCTCTGTTTCGGAGACTTAGATATTTCTTCCTAGTGGACATCATGGTTATTGATACAGTTTATTCTTCTGAAGAGGACTGCAGGTGAAAATGTTCCTTTGGGTATGCTAGCCAGAAAGGATTTTACTGATGGTGTTGTTTATTGCAGAGTGTTGGTGACCCACTCTATCCTTTGATAAACATTAAAGTAGAATGAATTTGGATGTGATTTACTTAAAATTAGTTTTCAATATAGTCTATATAGGTATATAAAGGATATGTCAGTCTTGTCCAATTTTCAGTGCTGGTTCGAGAAAAATAGGGTGCATTTAACTTACTCAAACTTTTGCTGATCTCCTTTCCATTAGAAGAACTCAGTCATTTCTAAAGATAAAAATACGACAAAGACATACAGAGGAGCTGTGCTGTGGATTTGAAAGACAAAGAAATGAAGTTTTCCTGAAAGTGACTGAAAAATTTCACTTAGCCTAACAGTTTAGTGATTAAGCTCACAATATAGTAAGTTATACGAAATTAAACTGCAGGCTCTGAATGGGAGGTTTACTGAGAGATGGACTATGAACACTGTAATCAGCTGATATTTCTAGAATTTGTAAAATCAGTTAGAGCTACAGCAACAGCCACAGGAGTCAGGGGATTCATAATTAGGAAGAAAGAGACTAGAAAGCCAAGATTCCTTCTACTGCTGTGTTGATGGTTGCTCTCCTTTCCTCCTCTCCCCTTGTTCTCTTAAGTAATATGAGAAAGCTAAAGGGAAACAATTCCTTTAAGGAGCATATGGGGAGGTGTTAAAGGGTTCTGTCCTGCAGGTGCCCCAGACACATGTAACTGTTAGTAGACGGAAAAGTATGCAGGCCCCCCCCCCCCATTAATGCAGATTCCAAGAATGAACACCCAAGTCCTACTCATAAAATGGGATTCCGATTTGTTACCCCTATGACAAACTGATCTGCTCTTGGAGGTCATGTTACCTGTCAGCAGGGGCTTTAACGAGAGTCAAAGACTGATGGAAGCAAGACCAAAGCATATAAGAATGCACTGATTTAATCAAAGCTGTGATGTTATACCTATGTATTCAGCTGGGTGCCAACTCCAGCAGAGATGCTGCTCTTTTTATGCATGGGTTATTGCTTTGAACTCCAACTGATTCCTTGTCAACCTAAGCTACACCAAAATAAATTAAATTATAATTATAGTAAGAACTATTTATCAGTTTACCTAAAGTAGTTTTAAAATCATACTTTTAAGTTAAATGATGCAATTTTCTCCTGTAGAAAAAGCCTAAGACTATTCTGATGGCAGCTAATGTTCACAAAAGCTATTGCCCGAAAAATTATCTATGGGCAAAGTCTAGGGGCTGACCTGTTGACCACACCTGCTTGAAAGAAGAGAGCTCTCTATAAAATAAGAACTTAAGAGATATAGGGGGTATAACCTATGTTGGGAAAGCTCAGCTAAAAAACCCAAGACGCCAACAGATGAAAACAATTATCTGAAAATATGCCACACTCAGCACTTCAGAGTCAGATCAGTGAACAGTAAAAATCAAGTTAAGTAAACAGAGAGTACCAATATGCCTACCTTCTTCCCCAACTGCTAGATGAAGCAGCTAACAGGACCAAATAGGGAAACTTTCCTTTCCTTTCTTTGTTATTTAAGAACATAAGCAACATTGAGGCAGGCAGCGAGACCTGAGCTAGCTAGCTGATGCTGGCCCATCGTGAGCCATAATCACAGCACACTTGGTTTTAGGTTTTAGCAGTATGAAATTCAGGCTTTCAGCTTTTACGGAAAAAAAAAAGAAGCAATAAATGAATAGAAGGCAAAGGCTACCCTTCCGCAACCTCAACTAGAGCTACTTGGTTTCAGTGGCTCCCCTCTTTGCTTAATAGACTTGGAAGAGCTCTGCTTAACTGTATCCAAAAGTCACAATACCAACAACAAAATCGACAGGGAAGCGGACTATAAAGTAGAAAGGCAGTGAGAAGACGAATGCAACCATGACTGATTAATCACAGATTGGAAGAACCTAGGGAACACGTAGTTTTTAGAGGTTTTTTTGCTTTTGTTGTCTTTGCAAAAGGTGCACCAGAAGTTTCTATGCCGTTTTTTGTCTTTCACATTCCTCTCCAGTCTCATGACTCCTTGGATTGACTGGGCTTGGCCATAGGGTGCGCTGCTCTGGTGGGGCCAGTGGCCGAGGTCATGACGACTCCTCCAGTGCGTTGACGACTTGCTCCAGGATGTCAGGGCAGTGATCAGCTATTTGCTGTAAGATGGCATTGGCAAACTCCTGCAGCTCTGCGCTTTCCTTCTCACCCTTTTGTAACTCGTCGTGAAGCTGCAAGAAACAAACAGCCCCTTTTATTCGCTGGTATTAAACATGTTCATCGCATCACAAGTGCTGCCCAGAAGGCTCAGCATTAAACTGAAGCAGCATTTTCGGAAAGGGAGCTAGCAGATGTGTAGCACGCCGGGCACTTTACAGGACTGACGTCTTTCCTTGGTGAGCCTCTCACCAGCCTACAGAGAAGGGCCAACCCCCTGCTCTTTGTTTCACTTTTTCACTCTACAGGGACCAGGCTTGTGACCTTCCCAGTTAAGGTCATGTCAACATGGGGAAAATAAGCAGCTTAACTGCTCCAGAATAAATTGTTTCATGATAACTATCTAGAAAAGCTTCCTCTGTAGAATACGCTGCTGAAAGCAACTGGATTCTGGAAGAAACACAGCATTTTGCTCGTATACTAATTATTTTAAGCAATTTGACTTTTACTCATGAATAACAGGATGCTTCACAGTAGAATTAATTTCTATATGAAATCAATAAACATGCTATACTCACTGTCAACCAGAATTCTAAGTTTTCTATGGAAATACTCATTTTGTTCAGAGATTGTACTTTCTAACTCAGTCATAAGCATACTACCCAGAACTGCGGTGGAGCACACATTTTTTTTGTTTACTAACTGTAAGCTTCCTATTCGATCATTCTTTGTTCAGGTTACTACAATTCCACTCAGCATTTGGCTCAAAATGAGACATGGAACTTTAAAACTTTGTCTTACTCATTCTTTGTACAGTCTATAAACTGCATTTTTCCAGCAAGTGGTTTCACAAACCTGCCACACATGTTGCAGTATATGTGAATACAGTGTCTAGCTCTGGGTCTAATACCACCGCCATAATTAGGGGCCCACAGAATCTTAATGAAGAGCAGGAAATGCCTGCCTTTAGTAACCTATTTATCTGACCAGGAACTGATAAAATCCATGCTAGTCTGTGCACTGTGCGGAATCCCAAGTAAGGCTATAATTTGTGCAAGCATTTTAGGGTCACATTACATTACTGTAGTCACAATGGTGTAAGGAGCTAACAGAACAAGGAGAAGCAGCATCTCTTATTAGACTAGATGACACAATCAGATAAAGTATCTGATTGCAAGCATATACCTCTTTCGTACACTATATATTCAAAAAAAACCTCATCTGCTTTACCAGGGATATAATTTCTTTTAACAAAATTATACTCCCTATGAATATAAGACAAACAAGTTTGTAGCAGGTACACACAATCCTTAGATGGATTCTGAAGTTTACTGTAAGCTTTTGCATTCAAAACTCTGCTACTTTGAGCGGCTGTAAAAACTAGTTCATCTATTTTTGAAGCTGTGTTTTTAAATTTGTTTTGAGTTTCTAGTATTATCTGACAGTCCTGCAAGATTTTGTTATCCTTAGGTTATTAACATGCTACTTCTACTGTTGCAGTACATTTTCACTGGAACTGTACAGTGTCCATATGTGACATGGAAAGAATGTCAAATCATAATTTTTCATCCATGAAGGGATAGTTGGTCACTGGTTTATGAATTTCTTGATTTATATTTCGTACTTCTGTAACATTGCTCATTATATAAACAGAGAGACCTGTCAGTCATTAGGACAACAGAGTTCTGTGTTTGCCTTACTAAGAGTACAATGCAGTGGGAAAGGTTATAATTCTACAATTAAACTTGTAACCAGATACAACAGAATGTCTCTATTTAGTGATGGTATCAACCAAAGCATAGGAGATTGTTACAGGATTAAGAGGGTTACTGCAAGAAATACCGCATAAAAACAAACAACCTAAGAATGACTACAGAATAAATACAAATGCATTTTAAGGAAGCTATGGTATAGACTTCTATAGACAGAAGTGAGAGAAAGGAAATTAAAATGGTAAGCCTGCTGCCCTATTCCCTTTACTAGGCAGGGTAGCATACAGTAAATTATTTGGGCTTTGCATGCAGAATGTTAGTTTAATGCGTTCTTATGTGCTTTGTTCCTACTGGCTGCTGTACGCACAGAACAGCTATATGAATTTGAGAGGGGCTTATGCCAAGAATCACAATGCAAGAGCAACCTGATCCTGCTTCTCAGAGTGACATGAGCTAGGGAAGCGGGGAAAACGAGAGGGAGGGGAGTACTCTGGGCTCTGTAAGAGCTCTCAGGGGAGAAAGGGAGGAGGGAGAGGATTCAGAAGTAACCCATAAAGGCTCAGAAACAGCATGTTGTGGATATGTGATTAGCCCAGTTCCAACAGCCTGGCAGAATTATTAGTCGGGAAGTTGCAACGGATGGATAAGCCTAGGAGACATCCCGTCAGCAAACAGGATTGAAAGAGTCAACACAGCCAGCTAGGAGCAGGGCTGAATATTAAAAGCCAGGAGACTTGGTGTCAGGAACTCTGTTCTGAGTCTCAGGTTGCTCAGTCTAGTGAAACTTCAGCAGCTCACGCGGCCCTGGCCACAGCAGCCTGCAAACCACCTACTGCCGGTAAACTCACACGACGGGTTTTAGTATTGAACTACTATGAGGCACGGCTTCGTTGGCCTCTCAGGCCACAGCAAAGATTTCATGGTGATATTAATCAGGAGGGTGTAAGTACATGGAGGTTAGGGGAAAGAGGAAGTAATGGGAGAAGAAGCAAACGATGTATTTCTCCTTTGCTTCCTCCATCCCCTTGCAGGAGTCTCTTCTCAGCTCTCGAATCGAGGGAGCAGAACCAGGAGAGGGCAGTGTTAGCAGGGAAAG